GCGAATGATTCAACAGTGCAACGGATGCTTGGTATCATTATAAAGGGCGAGCAAGAATCACGGTGTCAAGATAAATTAATCATAAAAAACCAACGTGACCGAAAGTTCCGAATCAACAACAGCAGCGCATTGGTGGAAGGCTGTCAAACAGAAAGGAGCGCCAACTTGCAGTGGGTGTTGTCAGGTAGGTCCAAGATTTTTCTGTACTAACCAATCGATGTTCCCATACCGATCACTCTTCTTTTCAAGATCGAAGGCTCTTGATTGTAAGGCGATGTCCCAAATAATATGAAAAATATTGTAATATAATATGTAGCGTCGCATCTCCGCAGATCTAAATTCGCCGATGCCAACAACACCCTGCATCCATCCAACATCAGATTATGAAACACCAATGCCTCCTGGGAAGAGAGAAAAGGCCCATCATCTGCTGATTTCTCAAAAATTCAATGCCGCAAAAACTGGTTGAGATGCGTTTCCACAAAAATTAAATCTTTCTCTCACTCTTCTTCTATTCTCTATTCTTTTCAAAAATTCAATATCAGTACATGAAATTTTGCTCCCATCGGTGGTTATGTCAGAACAATGAGCTGTTTCTTAACTACTCCGCATTTTGTATATGCTGAAACTGTCGGAAACAGTAGGTCTTCTATGATGTCATGCCACGAGTCTAAGGAGGTGCTAGGTGACCTCATGGTTGCTACAATCACCATAGTTGCATTACCGTATAAGGCTCACACTAAGTATCTTGACCAGAGGCAAAGGCTATCAGCATCTTTGTTTTCCATTCAATTCGCTTGCATCGGTAAGAACTTTAGCATGCTCATGCTTGTAAAACCTCGTGTTGAGGTGCGCGCAAACAATACGTTACAAGGAAGTGCGCTTGGTGGACGTTTCAGCGACCAAAAGACGGATTGAGCGATCTGGCTTCCAGAGCTTATTTGCATGTGTCTTCGAGAAATTACTCGTGGAAGTCGCACAAGCAATTCTTTTAAATCCAGGCCAATTATCGCTGACAAGTTGCCTACTAAACTTCGTCATGATGGTCGATGAAAATCTCATAGAGCCCCTGCATCGTCTCGCAATGTCTTCCATGTGCGGTCGTCCGTTTAAACCAACAATCTCAGATCGAATTCGCGGGGTAAAAACGTCGATAATAAAAACGGTCGATAATTAAACTGTGGACGCCGAATTGACTTAAATAAAAAAACAAGAAAACGCTAATGAAACCTCTCGAATAAGGAGCTCATTCTTTTCCCTTTGAAATGGAGGAAGGGGCGGGCCGAATAAGCTAGCTTGCTTCGCCGGACATTTATGGCTGGCGTATGCCAGCAAGAATTGCGCCTGCAATCGCATGGCTTTCTCAATGGTCCTGCCGCGATGGCTAGAGCACAGACGATTAGAGAATGCCCTAGGACTAAGCCTTGGAGGAGAGGGACCCGCTAGAGAGCGCAGAGGCGGTAAAGGGCTGAGTTCAAGTAGTCCGTCGACCCTTGCATCTCACTCACTCAAGCTATTTTCAAGAGAACATATGCATTAGTACAAACAAATAAACACAATAATTAAATGAGTTAGGCAAGTAAAACCAATCAAAAAATGCAGCATTAATTTCGAAACGCGTGACATTTTACCGCAATCGCACAAGGACCCACAGCCAAGCACGTGATTCCACGGCTGGCAGGGGCAGGCAGGACATCACACTTGTCCCTCTAGAGGTTTCCAAGTGAGTCTTCTGTTCAGTGACACTTTTAATGCTCTTGGTTAGGGCTAGTGCATCATTTCCACACCATTAGTCTCGAAGGTAAGGATCCTGCTCGAACTGTTGTTTTAATGGCTGATAAGCGCCGGCCAGTCATCCGTTGGGCGATTTCCTGCAGGGAGGGGAGGGGAGGGGTGGGAAGTATTCGATGAAACTAGCGTTTTGTTTCAGGGATAGACGGAAACGAGATTCTTTCTCAGACGTGGGATTTTTAACAAAATTTGGAGCCACCTTCCTCGAAATCGGCCAAGCATTCGTTTACCCTATGATACTCAGGTAGACACGGTGTGCCACAATTCTTTATGTGCTAAGAAAACATTCATATACGTGTCTCAAGGAGCGATAAAATCCAAAATCTGGCATTACTGTCATACTGTTTGATGGGAACTAAACCACACAAAGCAGTGACTTACGCAGAAGCATTCTATTTGAGTCTTCTTCATATTTGAAACTAAGGCGACCGTAAGAAACGTGGTTAAGGTTCTTAAGCCATTCAAAGTATGAGACAGTCACACCACCAGAGTTTATATACCTTAAAGGAAACAATTACTATAAACGGATCTTAGCTTCCAAGGAAGCAAAATTCAATTTATTTGATTTGTTTATTATACGTGCATATTCGTGCGTTCTGAAAATTCAACACATTGGCGGCCAAGCAATTTTTGGGTGTTCCTAAAAAATGCGTCCTAATGCTGAAACGCTTCCTTCTATACCAAAGCAATGAGAACTCGATGTGGAAACTGCTGAAACTTGATTTGATGTTTAGGGGTTGCAAAGCAGCCAAAAATCTCCCGTCCCGCCAAGGTGAAACTTCGGAACGCTCTCGGAAAATTCCAATTTTCCACTGTAGAATCCACAAATGAGGTTGAACACAAATCTCTTTTTTGCCAATTGTTGTATCATTGAGCTAGCTAATAGCAAACAAAAAGGCAGCTTCATACATCAAAAAAGAACAACCTTAACCTTGAAGAAGCACTTCCAAGCATCCCTTCTGTAAAACACTCACTGTGAAAGATGCTCAAGGAACATAGCCACCATAAGTTTAAAGCAACAGTCCCAGCAGGGTGGGCGTGGTCGGAAACGACTGCAATCCCCTCGGCCGATTCCGACCACGCCCACTTCAGCTCCCTCCCTAGCGGCTTTCCAAGGTGAGTTTTTGTTCAGTCACACTTCTTACGTTCTTGACTAGGGGCTGAACAGCTCCGAAGTGGGAATCGGCCGAGGGGATTGCAGCCGTTTCCGACCACGCCCACCCTGCTGGGACTGTTGCTTTAACAATGTATTCCGGGTTAATATAGCACCGCTCAAAATTTGGAATGTGCGCAAAGGAATTGAATTTTAGGGAAGTCGCTCAGCATCGGGCGACATTGTAGCCAACGTGTTTACAGGTATCCCTGGCAATGAATCAACTTGACGGTTTATTGGACGGAGTTCTCTGCTTCTTCCGCCGCTACCGGTGAGCACCTCCACACCCCTCTTTAGAACCTATCGTAATCGCTGCCCTTAAAAATTCAATGGAACTTCTTCTCCAGAAAGCAGAACGAATCTCACATGTCTGGGATAACAAGGCAGTTTCCACGCTCAAGAAGAATCTTATCTGCGGCAGGAGTAGTGGGACCATTAGCTGCTTCAGCGATGATCTAAAATTTACTTTGTACGGAAGCTCTTTCTAGGGTACAAATCTGGATTCTACCTTCGCTTGGATTCTAAAAGCATTCTCCTTGTGGATGGTTTTTTCACAGGCGGCAGGAACGAGAACATCACAAGGCTCATACATGAGGTCTGTGAAAGGTTCGAAGTTCTGGGCTCCAGGAAAGCTCTAAAATACTATCAGAATAAAAAATAAATTTTTAGTAAACAATGCCTTTTTATTCATCATGATCATAAATATCTACTTATACAATACGCCACACACCAATGTGAAGTCTGCGAGTGTTGCCACAAAATTGCGCTCAATTTAGAGAGTAACTTCAAAAGGTGGTTCAAGTTTTGAATGCGTGGGGCATGGACCAGGAAACACATATAGCCTCACCCATGGCGAGCGAAATTGTGACAAATTCGAAAATTGGCTATAGCAAGTGAGCGCACCTCTTATGGTCAGAGGGTGTTGATTCAGAGATGCAACCCCCGAGGCAAGGACAGTGTGGTACTGTTTAAATGAGTGAGGCCCATCTGCTTCGGAGGGGTGGGAGCTAATCTGAGAGGGCATGAGCCAGGAATCGGTATCTCGGTTCCAATACGGTAAAACGACTGGGAGAACTGATGTGTCTGAGCGACAGTTTTCCTCCTAAGAATACGAAGACCAGACCTTGAATTCCGAATGATGCAAGGAAGGTCAAGTGTTCTTGGTCAGTCATCAGACTCATAGAGGTCAACTAACTGTACGTCAGGTAAGCTGACAGTTCCAAAATCAACATACCTTGATGGTACCATTCCGATCTCTCCAGTCCTCGAGTTCCTTGGGGTGAATCCCATCAGGGTTGTAAATGGCACAATCTATCTCCTGAATCCCAATGATCTTCGCTCCACCTCTATAAATTGCATCCATCAAATATGAAGTCAAGCACTCCGCAACTGCTCGCGGCAGAATTGCTCGGATGCTGAGGTCCAGTGAACTTAATCTCACCCGGACAAAGAAAGATAGATCTCATAGGCAGAAGCAGAAGAAGGAGCATTGACAAGAAGTACTTCCAGAAGGCGGATGAATGGACTATCCAAACACAGGAAGACTTTTATGCTTCTGAAGTCGAAGCCGTAAACTGGCAAGGTAGGTGCCGGTCAAAAGGTTCACGTTGTGAGCTGCGCGAACTAGGCGCGCGCGACGGCATGACTTATCACCACTGAGGCTGTTGTGCGTTTATCACGCATTTCACCACCGTCGCGCCCTTTTGCCGCTACTGCTTGGTTCTTGTGACAACACTTATCTACCTGAGGACTTGAATGCTCCAAAGATGGTAGAAATTGAAAAGTAGCACATCTCACAGGGATCGATCTAAATTTTTTGAAAGCTGTGACTAGGTGTTTTCATTAAATAAATCCCGCTAGAAAAGCATTTATACGACGGGGCTTTGTGCAGCACCCACGCTGTTAAAGCCAATTTGTCGTAAGCTACTTTCAAGAAGGATTCCACGATAAGGTCCGAAGGACGAAGGTCGAAGAAGGGGAAACTTACCTAGTGAAGGAACAGACAGGCTCCTAAAGGTGCGGACCGACAAGCAAAGCAATTCGCGTCGAAGGATATGCCCCTGGCGATCTAGCGTGGCCTTCCCGCGAGGCTATTGGCGCACGATCGACGCGGTACGACCCCTCTCTATCTGAGCCTCTTGCCGTTTAGCAGAGAGAGCGTTAGCGTTGAAGAGGGCAGCACCTATGAGAGTAGCTTAATTGCGGAGATAAACGAGCAAGGAGTGGGTCTTATTTCCTGGGCCTTGTTTTTTGTTATTTCGTGCATTACTGGCCATCTCTGACTCTATTTCCAATGGGCTACCTTTTCATCATATAATGCGCCTTTAATGGCTACTTCCTAGGTTCGCCCTTTTTTCCACCCAGTTTATCAAGTGTGAATGAAGCTTTGCGCTCACTGAAGAATGTCGCTTGATATGATAGTAATAAAATGGTCAAATGAAACTACCAATATCCTTCAAAATCACATTTTGGTTTGAACGTACATGTGAAGCTACTGTAACTACTGGCACACTTCTCGTTTATTACCATCTCCTCTGATACGGTAAAGACGAGTTAATCAGTATAGCAGGCACCAGCGTTCAAAATTACTTCGCATAGGTCAGAGTCGGAGAACTTTTTGTGGGTGATTTAGGTTGCGCTCAGTTTTCATTCCTTGTCGATCGTTATCGATTACTACAAATTAGTTCCACTTCCGAACGTGATATTAGACATCTAACCAATCGTGGAATGTGCTATTAGGTCTCGTGTACGGTAGTTGATACAATACGATGGCTGATTCCACCCAAAGAAGGAGAGGCATGCGAAGAGGGGCTTAAGAGTGAGATGTTAAGTCGTGCACCTCTGAAAAACCGCAAGCTCGATCCTGCGAGGCTCAAATAGCCCTGAAAATCGCAAAAACGGTCCAGTATTCTAGGTTGACGGAAGGCAGATGAAGATCCCGTCACAACAATATGGGTCTGGAAGTGAAAAAGGAATCAGTGAGCGCAGGCCGGATATTTGGTCGAGGAATCCTCGACAGGAGTGGGGGCGACTTGTCAGGGCTGGGGTATGGGGGGGGGTGGGCTGCACGGGGCGTTGACGATCGTAAGCAGTGTATCGAGGTGATGACAGGAATAGGAGGGTAGCGCTGCAGAAGAGAGATGTGTGGAAAAACATTAGGTAAAAAATCCTTTGGCAGGTTCAGTCGCTTCCTCTTACTGATGAGGAGGACTATATTTGAAAGCGGTACAAATGATATGAATGACAACGCGCTGCAAAGGCACCTGTCATCGACCCCTCGCTCCCTCTCCTTAATACCTCGTTGAGAATGACACTGTTGTTAGGACGCTGTCACAAAAACGACACCGTGAAGGAAAGACCCTGGCAAATGAAGCTGTTCCTCAGGCTATAAGGGTTTACGAAATGTGTTTACTACAATGCAGCTTGGTCATGATCATATAACACCTTTCAGTCGATTCTGCAACTTCGAGTGAAGGTCGGATGCATGGCCTACACCCAGACAAAATCGGATGGTGACGATTGCCCCTTTCTTTATAGCAATTGTTGGAGAAATGTGCTCTAACATTTCCATTCGGTTGCGCCGAATTACACGTTGACAATTGTAAAAAGGGGCGGAGCTTTTTGTCAGCAGATGCCTAGAATCACCCCGATCCACAGATCCAACCGATGCGCAAATATCTCTGACAACTAGAGTTAGAGGATGTGAGAAAGAGCGCTAAAAGTACTCTTAGAAAGGCAACCTTCCGATTCCAAACTGTCTTCGTTTTCAAAATTCGGAGAGACCCTATCTTTCTTGCATGGAGGCGTTCTTAGGAGCATTCAATACGCTTGTTGGGATACGCGAAATCCAGCTCTATCTAACCCTACCTCAAGCTGCTTCAAAGGTTATGAAATGGAGGAATGCAACCTTTTCATCGAGGGTGTAGATTTCGACGGTTTTTTTTTCGGGATTTCAGCAAATCTGACCCAGGGACAAATCGCGCCGCAGCTGCCGTTGAATCGGCCGTTGATCGATACACTCGGCTGTTGTAATTTTGCGTATGCTCTGTTTTAGGGGGGTCGTGCCAAGTCCTCGATTTCAGGGGGTCGTACTTCTGCGACCACGTCCTCAACACGATTCTCACCCTGATGAGCGGACCCTGCGACTGCGCGGGACTAACGCTACGAAGGAGAAGATTTCATCAAAAAATGTACCTGTGCAAATAACGCATCGTGTGGAGTCCCACATTACCAAAACCTTGGATGATAACGGTTTTTCCTTCCAATCCGCATGAAAGTCCAATCTAAATATGTCAATACCAATGCAACAATATTGCTGCTGTGCTACAATAACGTCCCTATTTTTTTTGCCAAATCGACAAATTTCAGTGCATTAATCCGACGCAATTCACCGTTTTGCCATAATTTCTGGAAGACGGTTCAAATGTCTTGAAACCATTGGGGAGCTCTTATCAGGACAAATCTCATGGTCTAGCAAACTACTGATTTTCTTCGAATCTTTGGCACCACTTTCTGGAACATTCGGAGTTTGAGTCTCCGCTTGCCATCGGCAACACCTGAGAACATAAAAACATCGTCAACCTTCTAGTCCGATTAGGCTTCCCGATTGTAGGATGGAAACCCACAAAAATCAGTATATTTAGAGCTCATCTGATAGTGGTTTAAGCAAATTCCGATTTGAAGTTAAGTTCTAGTGAGTTTTTTTCGCAGTTCAGTGTCTCTTTGCATTCGTATTTTTCATAATACATCCGTATATTTTCTGCACTCAGCAGATAGTCTCTACAAATGTGACTCCATGTCATATAGTTAAAGGTAGCGTAGATTCCAGAAGGGTTTGGAGGGAACGAGGTGGTGCTCAGTGGTACGCCAGTGGCGAAAAGCGAGAAATCCGTCAAGAAAACGCAAAACGGGACCCCTTTTTGGCCGTTGGTTTTCACTCATGAACAGGTAACAGCTCAGAAAGCGGACGTATGAACGAGTTCACGCAACGCGTTTGGTGGCACCATGCCAAACCACGCTCCAATCGAGTTGCTCCAGTTGTGCCGCTGCTGGCAACGCAGCTCGTCCAAAACTAGTGGGCGGATCGCTTTTGGGGGCGGAGTGCTTTCGAAGTCCTGCTCAGCAACCAGCGCACCTTTCGTCGTGAAAGCGCTACACCTCGCGCTTGGCAGCCAAGTAACTGCTTCGTGTGGTATAACTTCGTATAACGAAATGTATGGTAGGTACGGATCCACGTTCATGGGAAGGTTTGAAGTGAATCCTGTTCACGTTTGCGCGTTCGACACGTGGATCGTACCTACCATGCATTTCGTCACAAAACCACTTCCGGTCCCGCCCACTGGTCCATTTTCCGTGGAAGATTCCTTTAAGTTAGTAGCCTATCTTGCACGTCGGCGGACGAGCACCGCTCGCCTTGATCGGTCACCAACATTACCTCAGACATATGATTTACTACGGCAGCAATGTTCCTCCACATGGCGCACATCTCATGGCGTGATTCCTAAGACCAGTCTACCTCGACCAGAAGATAGTGGAAGAGTCCCGAACGAAAATGGACACTCCTTGCCGGCAGGAGGCCTTGCTAGCTTGCCATTGTTAGTGTGCTCTCAGGCAACACAATCTTAGGTAAGTGGAAATGTGCTGGTGGGAAGGGTTCTCACTAATTGAGAAGTACTAGGAAAAGCTTATTTAGAGGTTGCTCTCTGTGTGTGTGATGGGCCATGGTTCCAACTCTCCGAAGTCCGGTGGAATTCTCCGTTTCTTCTGAAGATTCTGCTATGGGAGTTCAAAACAGTGTCAAATTCCAGATGAAGTTACTTCGCCTATTCTGCATCTCTGTCAAGCTGTAATGTTGTGATGCTTATCTGTGATGTGTGAGCTATTAGTTCTTCCCTGAAGTGTAGTTTCATTTCCTACGATGAGTTGCTGTCCGAAGGTAATCCTAGAGAGGAAATGCAGCCGAACCCTATTATCATTAGCCGCTGCTCCGTCCTCATTCGGCTGCAATAAATTCCTAGTGATTCTTTCTTACAAATTCATTTACGACAAAAGCTGGATCTTTGCGAAAAGTTGTTGTTTTTCGGATATCTTCCAGAGGGCTACTTCGAATCAAGTTGTTCGGTTTTTCAGCAGTTTTTCTTTTAAATGACCAGTTAGCGTTGGAGTCGTGTTGAGATGTTTTTTATAGCGGCTTCGCTCTTTCGAGTCAATTGGGAATAATGTCAGTCTGGAGAAAAACCTGCTAGCAGTTATGTGTGTTGATTTTCAAAAACTTAAAGTCTCTTCTAAAATCAGTCTTCTCTGAGCAGATGCTAAGCCAACACTGTTGCATTTCCTGAACGAGTTTGATTTCGCGCACCATTGGAGCATTCGCTATGCTTTTTACTTGTGTAGTCGTAGCTTTATGACCAATTTCTAGGGAAATTGATGAAATCTTGCAAAGATATTTCTGAAGAATAGTTCAATGCGCTTTTCTAATTTGAATTTGAGACAAAAGAAATCTCAGTTTTCTAAAGTTCTCAGCACTTCCTGGTTGTTGTCCCTTTCACCTTTTCGACTTACTCATCAGTGCTTTTCTGAAATGAAGTTAGAAGGACGCTGTTGCTGGCAACCCGCTTGTGGGCGGAGCGGTTTTGAAGTGTTAATGATTTCAATATTTCGGACGTTTCTGTGCTCCAACTAGCTCATCACCGCCACCACTCCACACATCGCTTTTTCTACTGCCTGGCTAGTGTTTCCAGTGGAACATACGGGAGTGTTTAAAAAAAGAGGCACTTCACTTCACATTTAGGATAGCATTGACTTTGCTGAATCCAAACCGAATGCTCCCAATTGAATATTGAAGAGCACGTTCCTGTCTATAACTAAACGTTTTAATGAATTTCTGCACGTTTGGGGCGGAAGTGGTGTAGTGGCAAGTGGCACGCTTACCACGCGAGCGGTCCGGGGATCAAATCCTGGGTCGTGAGTCGCCCGGGCCAACCAAGCCTTCCATCCCTCCGGGGTCGGTTAATTGGTACCAGACTTGTCTGGGAGGATAAAACACTGACTTGTACATCGGCTGGCCCCCGCAAGTCATTGTATAGGCCACATCGCATTCAAACGCCACTACGAATGTACAAATGGAAGTAGAATGCGTGCCGCATCCCAAAAAGGGATTGATCAACGGCAAATGCTTTATCCTTTTATTATTCTGCACGTGGCTTTCTGCGCGCCAGCCCATCTCCTGTTGTCTTTATACTATAGACAAGTCTAGCACCATTTGCACAATAGGTTCAGGATTTGATCCACACCATTTCGGATGTGCAAAAGGTAAGGTGGAGGGGTCATAACGGTGCCTCCATAAGCGAAGGGGTCGTACGGACGCGGCCATTTTACTCGACGGTGGCTCACCTTGGGAGGAACACGCAAAGGTGTCAGCAAAAACAATGAGTTGCACAGCTGTTCGGGAAGTGGCAGCGTTCAAGTTCGGTTCCCGTCTATAATGATCTGTTTACCCACAACTCAGCGTTCGTTAGATAAATGTATATCACCTGACACGATGATTAAAGGGCGCACACGCAGCAGGTAACCGCTGAATTTTCGCAAATTTTAGTCCATGTTTTTCTTGAAATTTTGAGCGTCATTCCGGCAAAAGATGGAAATGGTAGCATCGGAGTCTCCACATTTTTCCTTATAGAACCCTGACTTCATCAGTCAAATTGCTTTAGTCTTCTGTACCGAGTTATGTTTATAATACTTATACGTTCAAATGAATTTTTATAACATTTAGGTCCTGATGAGGCTCCGGGACAGCACAATACTGAGAGTTATACGTTTATGTAACGGCCTAGGTTTCTCGTATTTTAAGCCTGAGGATAGCTCAAAGCTTCTAATTTGTGAGCTACCAGCCCAAGCATATCGCCTCTCTCATACCGTCGTTTCCGACGTCGTGATGAGGAACATTTTGGAATAACCAAGTATGATAGAGAACTGGCCAACCAATAGTTCTATAGTGTCAGTATGCAGAAATGAATCTCACTGGAGTCTCATGATATCATATATGTCGGAAACTGCCATAAAGCACGTAGCCCACTTCTGTAAACTACTTTCTGATACAAAAGGCGTAGAGTCACTGGCAGTCAACACGCACTCATTTTAGTTGTTCAATCGCGGCTTTTTTTGGAGATCATCCAGAATGATTTCCAAAGCTTTCCTTGGCGAAAGCTCAATCCGTACGCCACGATGGAATTCTTTACGTAAGCTAGTACGAACTTCTAGTAACATTCCTCCACGCTGCTCCTCGATTTTATGCTTGCCGAGTTGTTGTTATTATACCATGCTTTTCAACCAGATTGCGCATTTATGTGAATAAGTAGCATCCTTTCCGTTCCTCCGATATTTGTTATTATAAACCCTCCACTCAAGGTGATAGATCGCGTCCACCTTATCACCGTCTCCAATTTTACCATATGAGCAATTAACACAAGGCTGTGATATATGCCCATACGGTAAGATTGGAGACGGTGAAAAAGTCGGAGTAATTTATGAACTTTATGTCATGCTTGTAATAACACATACATCAAAGAAACAGCAAAGATACTAGCTATTCGCATATGTTATTCTCAACATAACGGGGATGACTTTGATTTGAATTGTTCCATCTTGGCGCTCGGAGATTTATAACGACAGAGATTTCGTAAAGTAGAGCCCCGGAATCATTCTAAATTTTCGCAAACAAAAATTGCGAGAACAACGATGAGTTGAAGCTGATTACCAGTGAATTTCTGCCTTCTGTATCAGAGTGTGTTCTAAAATGGATTATGTACTTTATGACAGCCTTGACAAACACGACACCATGAAACCAGTGATATTCATTTGTCCATGCTAACACTATTAACAAGGCGTGAGCCAATGGCAGAGCCAGTGGAACTTTCGATGAGTGTGAGTTTTATACCATACTGGGTGATAGCGAGCTATTTCTCAATATGACGTCGAGCAAGGTGGGCGGGAGGTAGCTTACAAAGTAAGAAACTTTGAGCAATCTTCAGGTCTCTGAAGATGTTAATAAATCTCGTTTGGCACAGATCAAGATAGCAGCAAAGAGCAGTAGAAATTTTGGCAAATCTATTCAGAAGCTTTTCGACCTTGCTCAACTTTTTCTTCCTATTCTCGAATGTTGCTTGCTGCTTGTGATGGTCGTAGTGTGATTTTTATTCTCTCACCTTTCATC